TATAATTATAATTTATAATTAAAAACAAATTTTTATATTTTTAAAATTTTTGCTCTCACTGTGAATTGCAGCTCACCGTGCGTCGCTAATGGCACGGCCATGCCCCAGAGTATCGTTGGCTTTAACTTGTATGCACCTATCCATGCAAACACAAAACACACACACATATGTTCACCTGCACACATGTACAAGTCCACACACACTCACATGCACACATGCGCGCTGATAAATCTGGAGCAATGGCGTCAAGTGCACGCTGTCTTCACTGGGCGACGCGACGCGGCACGGTTGCAAATAGGCCAGACGTTGTGCGTCGGGCACCTACGCGCACATTGGTGTCACCTACTGAACTGAACCGAACTGAACGCAGCTGAACGTGAGCGTGTTGCTGCCGGGAATCTGGCAAAGTAATCTCTGCTGCTAAGCATTTACAGCAATTGCTGCTGCGAGTTGCGGCCTGTTAATGAGTCAAGAAATGGTATGGCCATAAGCACGTGTGTGTATRTGTGTGTGTGAAGGTGCGTCTAAGTGCGTTGGCGTCAACCCAAAGCCCAACAGACAAGGACAACAATGGCAGGCGTAGACAATGCCGCCGGATTGTTGTTGCTTCTGTGTTGCCTACTTTTGTGCGCTGCCTTGGCGACCTTCTTGGAACAGGGCCATAAACAAAGTACATCCCAAACTTGTGCGTCTATTAAACATAAAAGCAACCAAACAGCTTAGGTATGAGTCGATTTAATGCGATCGAGTGTTGAGCTGGTTTGTTTGTCTATTAAACACAGTAGGTGAGAAAGAGAGGGAAGGCAAAAGCAATCTTCAAATCAATTTAAATGATTAAGATAGCCTTGCAGATAAATACTTATGACTTAAGCATTTAAAGTATAGTCATACTATTATAATAATACTACATATTTAAATAGTAAAGCAGAATTGAATTATAGTGAGAGAGAGATCTTGTATGGGCTATTGCAAAACCATGAACCGAATAGGTTTGTGTCTTAGCTAAACGCTGTTCATCTCTGTATACAAATACATACTCATTCCGTAAGAGAGAGTGAGACAAAGGTAGCTGTTGCTGAACATAGCAATGCCTTTTGCTGAGTGAGAACGAGGTGGGTAGCTAGACCCTCTGCTCAGAGTCATTACGATTGCCAATGGACGAAGAACAGAAGACGAAGACAGACGAAGAACAATTGTCACTGCTCAAGCTCCATGTGAAACAGAGCTTTGATGCCAAAAATACATACATACATACATATTTGTATAATGAAAAATGACAAGATCTTTTCTAATAAGGATTGTAAAATCAATTTGTTGATTAATTATTCTAATTGTCATTAAATCTATAAATAATATAATTCGAAATTGTAAGTCAAATCATTAATTTTTTAACGTCTTATTGTTAGCTAAGTTAGCTGAGTTTCGCTCAGCTTGAGCTTGCAGGTTAGTTCCATTAGTAACCATCGGACGCAAGCTTAAAGTTTCTACTGTACTGTAGGTATTTATGCACACCTTTACCTATATATTGACGAGTATTAGAGGAGTATACTTATTGCTCTCTTACAGCTCGTGCTGTTATATAAGCATTTGCCTGACTTTTAATTAATTGAACCACTCCGCGATTTAATGGCCTGAGCTTTACAAATGCAAAACTTTGACTGCAAATAGAAATTAATTGTGGATACTCTGGACGAGGGTACTGTTAATAGGATGTGAGTTGTGTATTGAAAGTATATATATTTATAGTAAGTATAAAAGCAGGTCGATAGATGGATAGATAGATATAGAAATATTGGTATAAAGATATATACATATATAGATAGGTAAATATATATTTCTACGTAACATTTATCAACCTATATTGACTATAAAATTTTACTAAAAATATATTTTTAAAAATATTTTTCATTTTCTTAACCATTTTGACATATTAGTATATTCCGAATTATAGAGCTTAGATGAAGTCTATCCTTTCTAAACGCAGGGCATATAGTCTTCGCCTTGTAGCTACTCATCATTTTTAACCTCACTTTTCTTCTGCTTTATGTTACTTCTTGAAAGTTGTGACCCGCTCGCTATCAGCATGCAGTGGGTAACTTTTGCTGACTTTTACTTTAACATTGTGTCTAAGGCCACACAGCCCCAAGAGCCATCGGCCACGCCGGGCAAGCTCTAGTAAGTTTTGCGAGGGGGCGTGTGTTGTTGGCCAGCGGCCTCAGTGGAGAGATAAGCCTTTGTTGCATTTTATTGCGTTAGCCCGTCGTTTTGCGGCTTAGCGCTTTAAGACAACAAATTGAATTTGGCGCCAGCTGTGCAGCTCTGTGGAGTCCACTTGCTTAGACAAATGCATAAGCATAAGCTGATTTGCGGCAATAGCATTTGATGCACTCTGTTGCCACGCCCCCTCCCTATGCACCTCTGCTACTGTTGTTGTTGCTGTTGTTATTATTGTGCTCTTTGCCAAATAGCTTGGCGCTCTTTGTGCTGTTTGACTTGGCTATTAGCTTAGCTCGACCACAGCACAAATGTTATTTAGTTTTTTGTTTGCTGCGCTCTTATTACATAATACAAGTGCAGCTGCAGCGACTCCTGCCAGCCAACAATTGTAGCCATTCAATTTGGTATGCCAAATGCCACGCCCCCACCTCGCAGCCCCACTGTGTCTATGTATGTGTGTGTGCGTTGCCTGTGCAGCACTTTGTTTGCGTGCAATTCCGTAAAGTCCTGTGCGTGCATTCAGGTTATTCCAGCAGCTCAGGCGTTTGACATGAAAAATGCATTTTATTGGGATTATATTTATATGGTGTTCTGCCACCCAACAGCGCCATCAGCACCCCCGCCGCTGCACAATTAAATCAGCTTTGCCATTTAAATTTGACTGGCTGCAAAATCCTAACTAATATGCAAATTCAATTAAATTTACATTAATGTTTGTTTAGCTAGCTGATACATATATATTTTTTGCGCTTCAGTGTCAATTTTTTTTTTTTTTTTTTTTTTTTAATGTAATTTTTGTTTTCGCACTTTTAATTCAATTAACGCCACGCAATTTTCGCAAAAATGACAACAACAACTGCAATTAGCCATTTTGCTTTGTGCAGAGGCGAGCGTTAATAGCCAATTACGTGTCTCATTTTCAGCTACACGCACACACACACCCGTACGCAGCCACACACACACACATATGTGCATGCGTATTTACTGTTGTCCATCTTTCGGCCCACTCAGGTGCGTGGCTGTGGTCGCTCGCATATAGTTTTCCTACGTGCTCGGCTTTCAAACTTTGCGATTTGATGTGGCCAGCGCTCGTCTCACTCAACATTAGTTTATAATTTTGATTGTGCCAAATGGCTTGTTTGCCGTTCGGGCCTTATCAGCACTATAATATGCTGCCTAGCGAGCACCAAATGCATATCATAATTGAGTGCTCATATGCACTTCTATCCACTTGTTTGTCAAGCTCTTCGAAATAAGAGTGCTTCAGCTGAGAGTACTTGAGCGTGATACCTATTCTCATAGCAGTGTTTGGTTACATTTCCACAATGTAATATGATCAAAAAACAAAGAAACATTGAAGAGACCAGCATTCCATACTGAAAATCGCAGAGAACGGTTATATGTTTGGCGTGAGATGTAGATAATTAAAACTATTCTCTACCCTGACCGGGATATATTCTTATAAATAGTTTAATTTATATTTAACTCCCCACTCTTATCAAAGATATAAACTTTATGGGATATGACACGCCCACATTTGCCTATCTCTTAAATGTTCACAATATCATTATACTCTGTATATTCATTATCAAAGGGGTTAGGTTATCAAACAAAAAGTCGAATATAGAGAGATAAAGAGAAGCAAGAAATCAGCGAAAAAATGGAAAAAATTCTTGAATGACAAAAATCATGGAAATTAAATGGACACAAGGAACACCTCAAGTGTAAATAGGTCAAGCTGAAAAAATTTAAAAGACCCAGAGCAAAAAGCACTGAGAAAGGGAACAACGTTGAGTACAAATTATGAGAATCGCATAGAAGGCGATATGCATGAGGCTAATTGGTGATAGAGCAGTAGAAGAAATTAAGATTATAGATGCAAAATTCAGGCAGAAAGAGGTTAAACAGTAGCAGAATAATGGAATATGTATATGGTAGAGCGAGAATTAAAAAGAAAGAGAGAGAAGATTTAAAGCGTTCATGTAGGTGAAATACAGAAATCACTCTCAAAGACAGTGAGAGAGAAATGACAAAACAATGTGTATTAAATGACTTTTATTTAGATGATATGAGAATCACATACAAAAGTATTTTTCAAAATAAGCACTGATTGAATGAGCAAGAAATAATTATTTTCTATTCAAAATATCTACACAACATAGCAACTGCTTCAAATTCTAAATTCTTTACAGGCATTCCATTCAGTTCGGCTTACAATAGGCTCCAATTGATACACTTATAAATAATAAATACTATAATAATTAAATATAAATAAACAAAATCAATGGCTCATACACTTTAAGCATTCTCTCTCTCTCGTGAGGAAAATTCTTAGAATTTGTCATGCTCGGCTGTCAATCAAACATTTCACGAACGCTCTACACTCACGAGTCCGAAGTTCTTCTATCTGCACATGCTCATGCTGCTCATATATGTATAAACGAAATTGCCTATAAACAATTATCAGAGTGGACTGCAGCGATGACTTGTCGCAAAAGCCTGATTGTGAGTCAACGTTTAGCAACTGTTTATTTTCTTATCGCTATCGTCGTCTTTCGTCGTTGTTCATTCGTTGCTGTTGTTGCGGGCTTCCATGCGAAAGCTTTAAAATAGAATCAAACTTGATTACGCAACGCATTCACAATTGGACGCAGGCCCATGGAAAATGTTCAACAGCCTCCTCTCCAATCGATACAATAAGAAGCGCGAAATGTTCTATGCCCAATATGAGGGTGAGCCACTTGATGATTGATTATCTAAGAATATATATATATATATCAATGTATATTTGTATGCTTTTGCAGCGACACGTCTGCGATATAGCAATCTGCCTGTCTATCAGCGACCGGAGGAGCCTTTGGGCAGTAAATCTCTGAAATGTGCTCGCAAGAAGAGAAAACACGCTGACTACGATTACGATGGGTGGTATGTACAGAGGGTGCTGGGGAGGGGGTGGACGTTATCTTTCAGCCCATCTAGAATCTAATTAGCCCACCTTCAGGATCGCCGGACACTCAGTGCCGATTGTGGTGCGTCGCGCCATTGAGAACTGGAGCTGCTGCCAATTGATGGAGCGTGTGGATAGTCTGAGCAGAGATGGCTGCAGCAGCTGGCGCAGCTGGCCAACGGAGCTGGATGAGGCGCTGGCTGAGCCGAGACGTTCGTTGCGCCTGGCGGATAAGCCAAATTTAAGGCTTAAGCAAATGAGCCAGCCAACTTTGAGAGACACAATTGGCTCAGTCAACTGGCAACAGCAGCCCACTTCGTGCCCCGCCCCCGACAGCTCGCCGAATAGGAAAATGAATAACCAAAGCTCGGCCGAGCAGCTGGCGCCGCCGACTTTTATCGATGGGTGCGTGGCGCTGAATATAAGAAAACTTTTCCTATTGACCATTTGTAATGGCTTTCTGCCTTTCCGGTTGCAGCTTGCCCCAGCTGGAGTGCAGCATGTGCTGCAAGCCTTTTGGCCATGAGTGCGACTTGCAACAGCACTCGCTCGACGATTGCCGCAAATATTTGCTTGCCACACTGCCCAATTCGAACTTGAGCTGAACTGAACTGAACTAAACTGAGCGAAGCGAGGCGCTGGGTTGCTTACATAATCTGGTCAAGTACTTGTAACTAAGTAGCAAGTGCAACCAGTTAATCAAACATAATTCAACACGGACGTGGCAGCATCTTGTTGCCTGGCCTGGCTGAGTCCTGCCTTGCCTTGCCTTGCCTTGTTGCCTCATTTAATATTTATTGTTATAGGGTTTACACAGATTTAAATAGCATTTGCTTGACTAATTTATATGCAAGTGACAAACTTTGCAAATCTGTTTGCTTTTGCTTGAGTGTACTTGACTGAGACATACTCTGTATGCATGAAATGAAATGGAAATACAAAAATTAATATTTATATACCAAATTTGGTATAAGTTAATATTTTCAAAACTATATAAAATATAATCTTGTATTTTGAATGTGTAGTTTTCTTTAGCGTATGGTTCATCTTAACTTTACCCAGGCTTAGGGGCTCAAATGCCTATTTGAGGAAGTTTTCCCAAAATATGAATTTCTAAGCTGTTTATTGATTTTCGATTGTGCGTAGATTAACAATTAACAATCAGTTTATAAGTATAAAGGGTATATATATACCCAGAATAGGGTATAACTCATTGTTAGAATATATGTAACCAGTAGAAGAAAGCTTTAACGACCTCCTTGAACTATCTATATTTTCAGATGTAATCAAGTAATTTTCCAGAATAATTTTTCAATTATTTCGCCTCTTTTCAAAAGCGGACCTAGACTCTAGAGGAAATACAGTAAAATCCTGCGTCTAATATACTATATCTTATCTACTCTTTATAGTATGGGGTTCTTTATACACTATATATCATATATAATAATGATTGAATCTATGATATGATATTCTATTATATAAGAATATACATTAAAGCCACTCTAAAAATTAATTACCGCTCCTCAAGCGAAAATTTACAAAATGTAAGCGCAATTGAGTTAAATCCCTTTGTTAAAAATTTGCATGCCAATAAAGCTAATTATAGCAAGTATAAACATGAATTAGAGTTGCTTTCGTCGCCGCTTTAAGAGCAAATAACTTAAAGCTGAGGCAGGAAATTGAAAAGTTGAAAACAATTTGCAATTCCTTTGCCCATAAAGAGAGCGAAAGGTTAGCTCCTGCTGCTGCTCCTGCTGCTGCTGAGCTGAGTAAAATATGCACTTATTGCGGCTAGTTTGCATTTATATGAATACCTTTTGCTACCTAAGTAGAATCCAGAACTTAAAAACAAGGATGCCAGCACGCAGCCAATAAAGTTCACATGCTTAAGCGGTAAATAAAAGTGCGAAGGAATTTACAGGTGTGTGCAGGTGTGCATCGAATGTGTGTGTGTGTATATGTAGATGTGTGTGTCTCTGCACAGTTATAAACACGTCAAGCGGCTTTACCATTGACAGCGCAAATTGATGGCAACTGCCAATGGCAGGCGAAAGCCGCAGTCAATGCCAATGGATTGGACGGAGGGCATTAAGGGCTTGCAAGCCTGAGCAATGTGTGAACACGCCCCCTTTTAGCCACAGCCCTGGTACCGAAAGTATGTCTGTAAAATTGATAAACTGCTCAAGTAAGTAATTTGCATTGCAAATGCAGCTTTTTGTGCAATTTGTAACTTGCGGTACAGTAAAAACTTGACGGCTCACATATTGACAGTGCAATTAAATTTTTAATTACCAAGCGAGAGTGCGTGTGTGTGTGTATGGGTGTGGGTGTGTGGGTGTCTGTACAAATAGTTGTTGAACTTCTTGGCATGTCGAAACATATGCAGACATTAAATTTATTAACAGAATTAATGCGTAAAGTTGGCTAGCAAGACAAAGCCAAAGATAAAGAGAGAGAAAGCCGCATCAAATTTTCGTGAAGACAAAGTGAAAGCAAACAGCTAAAGCGAAAATTTCCCAGACAAAGACAAAGAAATCATTTTGTAGTTTCTCTTTACTTATTTCTCTCTTTTTTACTTATCAAGACACTTTTTTGTAGTCACTTCTATACTTGAATATTAACAGTCAGAATTTTGTAATATCCTGCAGAAGGCTTGACTCAAAAGGGAACTCAAAATCTTATTATAAAGCACAATGTAAGACATATCAAGTTTCAAATTATCGTAGATGTTTTAATTATTATGATTCTACTACGCATTGATAATTGGAAACTAGGGTTTAATATTAATATAAAGAGCTCAAAATAAATTTTATAGAATTTCGTTTTTGTTTTATAATGTAATAACATGTGTATTCCCTTAAGTATTTCCTCAAATACTTCCTATAAGTATTTTTTTCTAAGTAGCTCGTATAGTATTTCCTCTTAGTATATCCTCTATTTCCTGTAAGTATTTGCTCTAAGGATTTCTTCCAAGTATTTTCTCAAAGTATTTCCTCTAATTAGTTTATAGTATTTCCTCTAAGTACATCATTGAACTATTCCCTCTAAGTGTTTCCTCAGTGTATTTCTTCTGAGTATTTCCTCTCATTATTTACCTCTAATTATTTAGTATTCGAAGTATTTCTTCCAACTATTACCTCTATGAATTTCCCCTAAGTATTTCCTTTAAGTATTTCCTCTAAGAATTTCCTCTAAGTATTTCATACAAGTACTTCATCCAAATATTTCCTCCAAGTATATCTTCCATGTCTTTAATGCTTAGCTTAACGATCATCACATCACTTTACAACACTGTACTGACCCCCACCAGGCCTGGACGACTAAAGAAATGTTGCAGCTGCTGCCCTTTATATAGGGAGGCTTTCACTCAAGTCTAAATAGCTCTCGGTGCCTCGTAGGGGTCGTTGCAGCCGAGTCTTAAGTGACCAATAGGAGCATCAACTACTCTAGCTTCGGTTTACTGTATATATATAAGCTTAAATGATCGTCTGTAGTTCCTCTTCGTCCCTAGCTCTTTTTACTGTACCATAGTTCTCTTAAGTACTAGGACTAATGGGTATTTATTAAAAATATTTGTGATAGTTCATAAACCTGTTGTTATTGAGTTTTATACTCGCTTTGCTTCATATTTAATATCCACACATTTATTTTTAGAACTCAAAAAAAAAGTAAGTTATAGAATATGAATTCTTAAGCAATACTCTGTATACGCCTTTACAGCTCACTGCTGAAGCAAAAGTTTTTTCCCTCATTTCCTTTTTTTAACCTTTTTTTTCCCCTCTTTTCCTTGCAATGTCTCTAATTTGTCTTCCCTTTGCTGTCTCTCCTCTTTCACAGTTAACAATTCTTTATTTTAGCAGTGAAACAGCCATTCGAAAAATTTCCTTTTCACACACACACACACACATACATTTCGACACCTACACACCCACACCTAACTCGTAGCTGCCTTGGCGACGCCTTTGGCCAGGCCCACGTGCAAAATGAGCGGCACGCGCCTCTGTCAGCGGCTGGCCCAAAACAGTCGCCAAACTGGCTAACTGACCGACGCGGCTGTTAACTAAACGTTGGCAGAGAGGCGCTGCGGCTGACACGCATTTTCCGCTTTTCCGCTTTTCCGCTCGCTTTCCACGGCCAAGGCTGCTGTGCCGTATATCTTCATTAAAATGCAATGCATTCTGGAAGCTCAGCGCGCAGGGCAACGGGGGGCAATCGAGCATCGCTGCGACCACAATCAATCCGGCCAAGTCCGCTGCCCGAGGTCTATAAAATCCGCCCCTGCCCCTGCCCCTGCTCCTGCTGCTGCCCTCTGGCCCAAATATTCTGAGGCCATTCCCCAGCTAAATCGTGTAAGCGTTCGCGCGTGTAATGACAATGGCTGCGCGTGGCTTTGACTTTGACATGGCCAATGGCTGAGCGGTTTGTGGATGGCTATGGAGAGGTTGGGTAAAAATGAGTGAGAGCAACTGCAAGTGGCCTCAAAACTCTCTCGCTGTCAGCTGCGGCAGCTCGCATCAACATGCACGTAAAAGTCGCATCAACGTTGACGGTTGAGGCCGTGCTGTAAACTCGAATAAATTCTGCAGCGAGTCATCAACGGAAATATATATGTATATGTGTATACATGTGCATATAACATGTATATATGTGCGTAAACAAACATCTTGGCTGTCAGCTAAAAGCAGCACCTTATAAACATTAAACGGGTTGATGCACAGCAGAGGAGGCGGCGGGATGGCCTGGGCGTGGCATGATAGGGCATGTGTGGCATGCGGCAGCTAGAGCATGCTCGTAAAATGATGCACAGATGCACATTCGCCTAGGTGTAAATCACGTAGCACTCCAACGCCTTTTACAGTTTCCGTTCTTTTTCCACAATAAAATTGAAAAGCAGCAAAGAAAAAAAACAACAACAGCAACAACAACAATAATAACTACAAAACGCAAAAGTTTTAAAAGTAAAATGACAAGCGCACGTGCGAACCTGCCACGAAGCCAAAAACTGTGAGCCGTAGTCGTAGCCGTAGCCATTGCCATTGCCGTTGGCTCTGCCTTTGCCGTCGACCCGTACAGGTCCTGTTTACGGTCCTCTGTTTACGTCGCCTGACACTCGCAGCCGTCTCGCTGCCAGACTTATGGTTAGACATCGATCTCCTGGGTGCCGCCGCGTTGGCCCTCAACTACTTAAGCCCGAAAACTTTATGCATTTCTCGTGCGGCTCATTACAACTGCAGCCGAGCTGCTCAAATGCACCACACGCATGAATGTAGATTGTTTCCCTATATGTGTATGTGTGTCTGTGTGCGTGTGTGTGTGTGCCTTCCATATGGCATCAGCCTTGGCATGCATTGCGGCTGATAGACCTGGGTCCAGTTCCACTTGCGGCTTCTGCTCCACCAGGCACACGCGTCGAGTATTTTGTTTATTAAAATTAAGTGCCCTGGACACGAGGCAGTCACAGCACAGTGGGCTAAGATGTTATTTTAATGTGATGAAAATTACTTTATAGCTATTTAATTAGACGAAGTAAAAAAAATATTTAATAGTCTTCCCCAATCGACTAAATATCACTTTACTAGTCAAGCTAGAATATTTACACTGTAATATTCAAAAAAAAAAAAATTCATAGACTGAAATTATTCAATCCTATAGCATGTTAGCTATGATCGATTGTGTTATGGTTCCATCTTTAGAGAACTATTTAACTGTCAAATTTAGACTTATGGAATTATGAATTTGTGAAACAGATTAGCATAGTATGATTCGTATTTCACCCATTGTCTGATATAAATGCTCAATATATGGAAAATTTGATATATGAACAGTTTTTAAAATAGAAAACAGACAGGAAAAACTAAAAGTCAGATATACAAATTTTCAGTGGCATTTCTATTTCAATTTAATTAATTAAAT